CTGGCTGTAAAGAAAGAGAGAAGTTCAAATACCCAACTAGGTGCAGTAAAACATAAAATTTCCGTCTTTGTACACTCATCTTGTGGGTTTTTTCATTCGGCTTTATTTCCGCCGATCTCTCGTGTCTGGTCTTTTTCCATCCCGAGAAGAGAGGAAGAACAAGAAGTTTCTAAACCTTTGAATATTCAAACTAAGCTGAGTGCTCTGCATTGCAAAAGAGACAATTCTATTTGAGCAACAACGCTCCCAGCTGCAAAAAGTTTAGAAATATATTTTATCTTCAAATAGCAACATAAGCAAAACTGAATATTAAGATTTCAAATGAAAGTTTAATCGCATTGTAAATTAATGTAAAGTTAAAAAACTCTGGGTATTTTTTATAGAACATCGCTGAAGAGAAAAGATGTCATCAATGCGTGAAAAAACTGATAATGGTGCGTTACACGCTATTAATACACTTTGGTTAGCCAATCAGCTCTCAGAATCTTGCTCAGAATTATAAGACAATGAATTGCCTTAGTCTTCAGCAAAATTTACTACTGTTCGAATGTTTGGGCAAATACCACAAATAAGAATGTTAGAAAATTGCAGGGCGTTCAAAACTTTGCTTGCCGAATCGTCAGCGGTGCGAAAAACTATGATCATGTAACACCCCTTTTAAAAAGCCTGTCTTGGTTGCCTGTTAAGGACCAACTGTACTATTGCCAAGCTATTATGGCCTTCAAATGCATGACCAGTCAAGCCCCTGAATATCTTACATCCCAATTTATTACCCGTGAGCAAGTTAGCGAACGAACAACTCGGAGTAGTTAAAAGCTAAACATCCCTCTTTTCAGAACTGCCTCCGGACAGAAAACCTTTTATTACAGGACTGTTAAACTTTGGAACAATTTGGAATCTTTTCTTAAGTTAAGCCCATCTGTTGAAGTTTTTAAACGTTCCTTAAGGAGCCAGCTTTTAGATAATTTTGTAAATACTTCTTAGTTAAGTTTAAAACATTGTATTACTAATTAGCTAACATTGTAATTAGTATTAGATTAAGTGGTGCAATTAGTTATTATAAATGTTGTAATATAATCATTGTTCCTGAAAAGCCCCTTTGGGGAGGTAACAATAAAGGATGTTTTTATGTATGTATATGTAATTGCAAAAAACGACATCAAACCAGGGGTAAAACTGTACCACATCAAGCATTATCAAAAAGGAAAATCTGAAGACCGAGATGTTCGAAAAGAACGAGTGAAAACGCAGCGGAAACCAGCACAATTAAAACGGAAGTGAACACGCCACAATACATGTGACCCGAAACAGATGCTGATGTTTATTTCCAGCGGACTGACTGTTATTTTATAATTGGTCTTTTTGCCACTTTTTGTATGTCATTTTAAGAATACGTTGCCAGGGATACCATTACTAAATTAAAAAGGTTGTAATTTTATTCATCGCCCCTTTCTTGTTTTATTTAAAGTTGATAATCATGGACCGAAGCAATTCCTTTTTTGTGTTACTATTTCCATTCCAATAGTTTCCTTTTAAACTGAATAAAGTGACTTCTTGTATAGTGCAACCATATCATGGCGTATGCTGTGATCTTCGCACCAATTAGAGGTGTCATTAAATGTAGCCAGGGGATCATTCGAAAAGAAAATTTTCTAAATTCAGAAATATTTGCTGTCCGCGTTTCAGACGTTAAATTAAAGAATAGTGATGTTTATAAAAAGCGAAAATTTAAAAATTGTTTGAACATTATTTTTACCCACTTAGTCAAAAAGGAAAACAGCGGTTGGCTAGAACGCATACGGAAATACTGAGATCTCGGTGTACATTTTCCGTCAAACTCAGATGGTAGTTTTTTTTTGGTACGAGAAAAAAGTAACGGGTTGAGTTGTACCAACCATAAAGTACCACTAAATTTTCCATTTTCTTCTCAGCGGGAAGCCTGGCACTGGTTATCCACACAAATGGTTCAGAAATTTTCGTTCGTTTCTGTAAAAGCGGGGGAAAGGGAATACCAAATGGAATGGTTCATCCAGGTGGAATGTGTGCTATGCCGGATATTTGCATATAAGTTTCGACAAGCAAGCGCAATGCGTCTGTGCTCACTGCTCGGCATTTTTGCCACTGCGCTTTGTTAAATTGATAATATATAGATTTAGCCAGGGCTAAAAGCGAAGCTCCCATTAATAAATTTATATTTTAAATCAAACAATAAACTTGTAATCCACAAATCAGTTAACTTAAGGGCACATTCATGTGACTTTTGAGGGAAAGGATAAGTTATTTTAGAGTGAAACATCTTACATCGATTGATAGCCTAAATATACATGTATGTACACCCAAAAAATGGCAAACATCTTCTATCACATTCAAGAGCCATAATGGCTCTTGATCACAGTAGATTAGGCCTCGAAAATAAATTCTTGGAAAACAAATAAGGCCGCAATTTTTTTGCGTTCGACAGGTTTACTTTACAAATTTTTTGCCAACAAATCTGAGGGTGTGTAAACCAACCTTTTATACTTTTTATACATCACATCTGAGGTGAAACAGTACTTTTTATCATACAGACCTCGGACAGAATACGGCATTTCACAATTTTTCAATGTTCAGGACGATCAATCGTGGGCTTTTGGCGAAACCCGTTCAAAAAATTTCCAAAATCACCCATACGGCTAGCCGGTTCTCATTTTTAGTGCGAGCTATCGGTGTGGTCGAGTGTTTGAATGAACTTTAATGGAGATACGCTTCAACATAATAACGAATTTATTATCATTAGTTTTTTGTTATTTAATGGTTCCAGTTATAACGATGTGTAATCTTATAAAGCGTTTGATACGCGCGACATTTCTAAGTACTCCTGCAAGCGATGTTCATGAACGATGAAAACAAACACCACGAACAAGCGATTAAAATTGCAAGAGAGACTACTAACAATCAATAAAAGAAATATAATTCGGTAACACATTTACAGAGACAACAATTTTCATTCACGAAGACAAGTATTAAAGCGTCTCTAAAAATCCTGAGTCTTTAAGCTTAAAGCTTACGCTTAAGTTTATTTTGTTTTACTTTCAGCCGGCCTCCCGGTGTTTGTTTTTTTTTTCAAAGATGAACTCCTCGAAGCAAGAAAATCACTCAAAGTTTTCTTTCTACAGCCAAATTTATAACTAAATATTCTTCGAAACTTTTTTTTTTCTATTTGCCGTGAGAAAATATATCTGAAGGCCTTTTAAAGTTCTGTAAGCTTATATCAAACCTGATACTAGATCAGATCATTGACTCAAATCTTAACAAACGTGCAAAAACTTGCCGCATAAACTGTGCTCGACTTCATGAAATTAGATAAAACAAAAACAAACATCAAATACAATAATTACTCAGGCTTACCATTCGAGATTCAGTTCCTGAAAGATATCAAGGAAGGCCATGGTTGCTTGAGACTTTTAAACCCTCTTACGCATTGAGCAAGGTGAAAGACGAAAACGATGCCATCCGAAATCGGATTACCCAATTTTGACAAGCGACGCATTTCTCAACCAAAAACCCAATAAACAAACCAGCCATGGATAACAGAAGACTCTTGATAGCAGCTGTATTTCATTTTGTACATCCAGTGGAAAAAGACAGTTAAAAACATCACAAGTTGACACAAAACTCTGTCAGCTTTAGCTGTCAAAGTAAACAACTTTCAAGATGCTGCATAAATTTTCCGCATGAACTCACCTGTCAAATTTTGACCAATCAGAGTACAAAAATTGGACGTAGAGCGTGACCAACGCGTGACCATGGTAAGAAAAGGTCTTCCCCGCCTTTATTTTTAAAAAAGTGGCTGAATTTTCGCGTCCGAGGTCAGTTTGAAATCAAAATCTTGACAGTGCGGGGCCATAGTGACATAAACACAACATATTTCATATGAATCATTGGAAAAAATAGAATTGAGCCTGCGATCATTTGAAACTGGTAATTTGTCAGCGGATAACTTCAAAAAAGTACTCGACCTCGATGGGTCGACACTTGAGCCCGCTGGTCAGCGGATATCCTGTTTTGACAGCTGTCAATTGATCACAACATTGATGTGCAATTAGTTTTCTATTGGGCTCCCAAACTAGCTAGAAAGTGTGAGAGTAAACATTGGTTTCCCTGTGGTGCGGACGGACGGTCGGGCGTACGGTCACGTGATTACCAAATTTTCTCGGATGGGTAGATTACCACATTTCCTTAGCTATGGAGCTCCGTCCACGCGCGCGCTTCGCGCGCTAGTTTCCCGCCTCCAAGCAAAAATAGCACGTAACAAAGCGAACCTTGACTTTGTCACTTGTGTTTTCTCTCCATTTGGGCTTACAGATTCTGATTAAAGTTATAATATAACTAGATTTTCCTCCTGTTGTTGAAAGCGTTAATTTTATCTTATTTATATCTTTAGCACTCCATCGCAGAGTATTGTTCAGGGGCACCCAACGACTGTTTTCTGTAAAATATCTGTTCGGAGAAGCAAATATTTCCTAAAATTTTCTTTTGCTTGAGGACGGCTAAAGATTTATAGATGAACATTCCATTTAGGTACAATTTTCCAAGCTTTTCTGATAAATTCCCTACGATTTTCAGAAGTTTAATTTTTAATATTTTACTACTCAGGTTACACTATTTTTCGTGGAAAAACGAAACCTAAAATTTTCGGATTCTAAAATGTGATGGAGAGAGGAATCAGAAAAATTCTTACTTTCGTAAAACGTTAAATTACACCTAAAATTTTCGGAAAAAAAAATACTGAAGCCCTTGTAATTTCGAAAAGACTTAAGTTCCCCTAGGATGACCGAACAGATAAAAATTTTGTAGCGCCGCTTAATTAGAATGCATTTCTAGAGATCTAAGGGTACTCTGGATAGCCAAAAAAGTGTTTCCAACGTATTTTGAAGAAAACAGTCGTTGGGTGCCTGTGATTGTTTTTCTCGAAGTTATTAAAAAAGAGAAAGAAGAGTTAATAATTATTTTATTCAACAATTGCAACAGGGAAATTCATTAATTCTGCTTACCCTCCTCCCCCGCGGCCTTATAAACAACACCTAAACATCACGTTTTACTTAAACAGGAGGATGAAGTTTGTATTTGTGCTATCGCTGATGCTGTGTTACAGTTCAGCTCAGAGTGCTGATTCAAGTGAGTATATTGTACTGTCCAACCTATATGATTCAGCGCAAGGCACTAATGCGCACTATGTGTAGCCGAGAGATTTTCACGAAAAAATGCTGGCAACAGCAGATTTTCGACTCAGACCTTAAAGGGGCGTGGCATTATAACCACGTGACATTTACTCCGAACGCCAAAAATTTTATGTTATATTGTAGATTGATCTATATGTTATCCATTCTATGTGTTATACTTACGATAAAAGTAAAGGTGGGGATACCAGAGAGCTTCAAAGTAGGATGGTACCCCCTAAAAAAAACTGGGTCGAGTGACCCTAAGCGGCCATTGAGTCTGCATTTTTTGTGCTCTCTTATGGGGGTCGCATGTATTTTTATCGCGCAGAATATACTACGCCCGTATTTTTCTCCTGTCCGTCCACCCAATCAGCTGACATGGAGAAAACAGAAACTAGTGTTTAACTACCAGATATCTGATAACTTTTCTTCTTTAAGTTTTTTTTTTTTTTTTTTTGCCAATTTTCGTGATCCACCTATCGTGTTCAAAAACTCAATCACCCTAGGTCAGATTTGATTTCAGGTAATATCCTGTAAGTTTGCCACATTGCATTTTTAAACCAGTGGGAAAATAGTGGGACTTAGGAAATTCGTTTAGTTTGTTATGTCATCTAAAACTTTCGAAAAAGTAAAGAACGTAGAAAAAAGAACATTGAGGGTGAGACCCTTAAGTTCTCTATTGATTAAGAGAACACAAGTCTGCGTGTAAAATGACAATCTGATTTTATAGGATGTGGTTCTGTGGTAAACAACACCTTGACAAGTCCTGGATTTCCAACACAGTACCCAAATAACATGCACTGTGTGTACAACGTTTCCATTCCATCCGGAAAGGCGCTGAAGATCAGTTTTTCAACTTTTTCCCTGGAACCAAATGCTCGATGCCGGTAAGTAATTTAACAATAGACAGCTTTAGAGTCACGTTTACGGCAAACGGCAAACGTCAGATTCAAGTTGATAATATCTCAAATTAAAAAAATTAGCAGGTAAAAACAGCTCAAAGCAATTCTTATGGATAAAACTGGCGTGAAACAATTCACTTTCTTGTAGAAGTAATGAACAATAAACATCAAGAAAAGGGAAAAATTGGTCACGTGGTACAGATTCACTTTTGCCGTTTACAATAAAGTTAACGTGACTGATGGCAATTCAGACAATTGAAAACCACTTAACTGACTCAGCTTTAGTAAGAGTAGCCTAGGAACTTAAATTCAAGTGATACTTGTTACTCTAAAACGTAACATTTTTGCTGGTCAAAACATACTCACGAATTCCGATGTTCGGCTTGTACGCTGCAAGTTTGCGGATCTGTGATATTAGGCCTAGAAATAAGGCAAAATCAGGCTTCTAAAAACCCAGGCTGGCAAAAACACCGGCCAATGAGAATAGCCCTCTAGTTTTAAAATAAAGATAGACCTAGCTTTAGAAACGGATAACACGAAGAAGAATGTAAAACACACAAGAATTAAAGAGTATCTGCCAGTAAATTAGCGGTCTGGTCGACATGGCGTGAAAAATAGATATCGCTCATTTCTTGTGCGTTGAAAGACTTTCATGTACCTGCACTTAACGGCCCCAATCCGCTAGATTGTATTTTTAAAACTCTCGAATTTTTGAGACAATTTTGGTTCACCCCATCCAACGCTCGCGTTGCGCGGCTTAATTCAAGGCTGAACATCAACAAAACTTTTAATGTTGATTTGGTCTGATTTGGAAAGTAATATTAATTATTAGATAAAAGAGATAACAAAAAAAGCCATCATAATTCCTTTGACATAACACAATAACATTAAGCACAATTTAACGCCATAGCAAGATTTTAACGATCCCCTTTCCGCACTGGTAGATCAGGTGGAGCCAAACCACCCCCCAAATGGGTTTCAAATGTGTCATTTGCCCTCGGATAAAAAAATTGAAGTAGAGTAACATATATAGAAATCATGATATTTTGTGAAAGATTACTTCCGAAAAAAATATAATTTCTACGATTTCTTCGATTCTTTCTTCTCCTAAACCTGCCTAAACAGTGCATTCATTAGTCATTGACCAGGTGACAGCCTTTACTTCATCAGTATGGTATTTTTGTTGTTTCGGCGCAGATAGCTCTCTCTCGAAATGTTCCTAGCGGAAGAGAGCGATGGGAGTCGGCTGTTTCGCAGCCTAATGAACAAAATTTATCCAAACTATTATTTACAAAATCGAATGTTCGTTGCTGGTGCTCGTAGATAGGCTCAAAAGGCGTAGAGACTTCTCATTGGCTAAACCGAGATCTGACCAATGATATGGTTTTCGATCTGGAAAATGCGATACAGCTTTTTTTAAAATCCAAGTTAAGATTTCACGCCTTAAGGCTTTTACGTGAGTTGAGATGAGTGAATTCCCTTTTACAGGCCTTTGTCATCTGTAAGTAGGTCAAAAGCAAGAGAACATAAAAGCCTCTTGTTGAACGTTAATTGCCATTTGTAGACGGCGGCAATTCGACTGCTCGGGAGTGACTCAAGTGCAACATAAAATGAAAGAATTTGATCGGCGGCTTGATATTCCGCAGAAACGTTTGGAGCTTCCTTAACTCCACCATAAAGCACGACTCGCAATTAGTCGAGGTAGGAGAACATAAAAGGCTTTAATGTTCTCTTGGCGGTTAGGGTTATTTCTTAGAATTTAAGTGCCCTTGTTTAGTAAAAAACATATCTTTCCCTTCTAGGTATGATTATTTGAGGATTGTAGATGATGACAACAGAACACTTGGTACATATTGTGGGCGCGAACTTAGTGGAAAGGTAGTTTTGGTAAATGGAAACTACGCATTAATAACTTTCCGCTCTCACCGCTACGCTGTTCAGCGATACCCGGGATTCCAACTGAGGATATCATTTACTGAAAATCAAAATGGTATGTTCAAATAAGAAGGGATTCTTTCATAAAAAGTAAATAAAATGAAATAAAATAAAATAAAATAAAATAAAGAATATAACTAGGTTGCCATTCGGGTAAGATGTCAAAGTTGATGTTTAGAGGTCAAGGTGAGGTACGCGGCATTTTTAAGAAAACTGATAAACAAACAATACAACTAAATAATGATAAAATAGGCAAAATTAGAGGAAATTTCAGCCTTTTTTTTGCTGTTAAGCAAACTCTAAATCTGACTAGGAACACTATACAATCTTTCATTCGGGGTTATGCTGTAGTGCAGTATTTCTTAACGATTTCGCATTTTTTTTTTTAACTGTGCTCTCAAGATTAAGATCAGGATATCGGGGATTGAACAAGGTGGTACTGAGATTTTACTGCATAGTACTGATGTTTGACCGTATTATACGACTTTCTCCGAGAGAAAGTGAGAAAAACGTTCTCTCCAGCAGACTGCAAAACAATAGGCTTTTTTCTCAAAATCAGTAAAGAAATCGGTAAAGAGTGGCGTAAGAGTCTTCAGCGCGAAGCGCGCGAGCCTCAGACGCCCGTAAGGCGTGTGAGGCGAGATAAAAAAATCCCTAGCATTAGCATTGCTTCTCCGTGAAATGTAGTATATAAAGTGGAGGATCAAAAATGAGTGGAAGTGGCAACTAGTACGCCAACAAAGCCTGTGCCTGCTCCTCGAAGGGGGAGTAAGCCGAAAGAGCCGAGCGCTTCGGATAAATTGTAGAATTTCAAAACACAGTTCGGCAATTTTATGAGTGGATGGATAAGCTCGGAAAATGTGTTTGTTGCGCCTACCTGAAAAGGAGAAACGTTACCAAAGTTGGCCAACCTACTGAAAAACAAACTTTTCGTTGTCCTCGAGGAAGAAGAATCTTTCTCCCCAAGAGTTTGCTCTCCGGCGGAACAAAGGTTACAAACTGGGCTGCGATGCTTTCATGCTTTCATGCTTTCGTCAAAACGTTTTCCTCCAAAGCGTAATCTACTCGACAAAGAAAACAATTATTTTGGCATGAGGTAAAAGTCGTGTGTTTTCTACCGATCCCCCTTTTTTACACAGGCGAGATAACAATGACTGTCGGTCGTTGCACAGAACTTGAAGAACTCTTTGCATGAACAAACATCTGATAAATAAGGCTGTTGGTAGGACACAGAAAACATCCTTTCCCCTGATCAGCATCTCCAAAGCTTCCCCCTGCTCCGATTTTAAAACAAATCCCAGTTCTTGGGCGAGCAAATCCAGGCAATCAACATCCGTCATTTTACAGTGAAAGCTTTAGAAATCTATTCATCACGCGCGGTACGGAATATCGCGAATGACTTGTTGAAAACATTACTTGACAGCTTGTCTACAGCTTGCATCGAAATTTAGCCAAAGGGAATTGCCCGTGCCTGGGGGAAGCAATTAGTAAAGGAAGTAATTCGAACGAAAATAACATATGCAAAACGGACAGTCGGTATTTTTAGCGTCTCTCCCCAGTCTCGCTCTCTGTTTTCAGCCTCGTTCCAGACCTTTCGTTTGATTGCTCGCGCGTACTTGAATAGGCAAAAATACGGACTGTTTTGCAGTCTATATTTCCAGATGAGGTCGTTTCATGAGTACGTGACTACTTTCAACAATATGACTATTAAAATAATTCTCCATAAAAAATACGTTATATTCTGTATTCTTTCAGTTGAACATCAGGTTAAAAGTTCGACATTATGACATGCATGCTGCTCAGTATATAGGATGGATATAACACTGGTGAAGAAATACGTAGCAAAACAGTACCCTGCCTCTGAAGACGATACTCTTGCCGTCCTATGATAATGACTGATCACATCTGTTTCCTCAACGACTAGAACTCTGTTTTCCCACACTCTTACGTTCCTACATTGATAAATATTCTTTCCCGTCCCCAATGTACACGTACTAATGTTTCACGAGATAATTTATTAAAGAAAAAATAAATTCACGTCAGTCTTTAACCCTCGGACTTTCATCCGTGGTACACGAAGGTGCGGTTGCAATCCCTCTGGAGTTCTTGCTATGTTATACAGGTCAAGCTTACCCCTATCTATTGAACGTGTGTGTGTATCTCCATCATCGAAGGAGCAAATTTGTTTATTTTATGCGAAAGTCTCAACAATGATTTTAGGCGACAGTTGACCAGCTCAGGGGGCCGGAAAAAAACAAAACCTTGGTTCAATCTCAAGTCAATAGTGGGAAAGGAGATTTCACAACCAAGGAATCCTTGACATCCGCACACATTTTAAATCTACAGAGACTTTTCAATACACGCATTTCTCTTCCTGTAACCCTCACGGGGTCAGAAAAGGTCTCATAAAGGGCGAGGTCCTTAGACTCCTCAGCTAAATCCTTCTATGAAAACATATACAACTTCAAAAAACGCCTTCGCGCTAGAGCAGACGACGATCCTGGCGCTAGAGGTTACCCTCACAATCTCATAGAAAAAAATCACCTCTGAGGTTAAATTTCCCGAACGGAAGTCAGCTTTACAAAAGAACAATGAAGTGCGAAAGAAAATTCTGCCTTTCGTTAGTCGGTTACCACAGACCACATGCTTTGCAGAACCTTAAAAACATTCTAGTGAGCAAATGGCACTTAATTCAAAATCAACCACTACTCAGAGAAATATACAACGAACTTCCCATCATTTCACATAAAAGAACAAAATCACTGGGAGATATCCTCGTTAGATCAAAACTATAAGGTCACGTATCACACTATCACGAGCTTATGAGTCGTGTTTGGCCACTTCGCAATCGACCCCATGTTGGAATTTGAACCGCAAGTCACGTTTCAATGCGCTTAGACTTATAAGTGACAGCTCTATCCCCAAGGGTCCTTGGGAGCTACTCTGATTGGTCCAAGCGCACCGACCCGTTTTTGGGTCGGTAAAATTGGCGCCAATCAAGTATGAAAAGTCCTTCGTCCCGCGCCATATGAAATCCGACGAAGGACTTTTTTGAAAGTCTATACTTAGAGTCGTTGCCGCAACTAGGGGTCAATTTTATAAAACTTTTACAAGTGTAATTTTTAAGTGTAGCCATTGCCTTAGGATCTGAAAACAATAGCTACACTTAAAAATTACACTTGTAAAAGTTTTATTTAATTGACCCCAGTATTTCAAATCTGCCTTCTTTCATATATGCGTAATGAGCGGTGATGTTTATAACGATACCTCTCTGTATTCGGTCAGATTGAAAAATCTTTGAATGGATATAATTGCTTTGAAGACATTTACATCAAATTCAAGAAATCTGAGTCGGTAGAAATTTCCTTGTTCTCTCTCGAGTGTGAATAGACCCTTTAACCGATACGGCGGCCATATTGAATTAACGATTTAAGGAGTATTATAGGATGCCCAGGGGGCATGAGCGCATTTCGTTTGTATTTTCGGGTGCTTTTCGAGTAATTTTTTCTTAAAGTTTTCTTAGAATAAAATTGTAATGGGAAAAAAGATCCTTGTGCCGTGTTTGAATGTATTATAATCGCCTTTTGCTAGTTTAGTATTAGAAATGTGGTCCTTCACTGTATATTTCTCGGGAAAAGGGCGGTCATTATATATATCAAAACACGGTACAAGGATCATTTTTCCCATTACAATCTTATTCTAAGAAAACTTTAAGAAAAAATGTCCCGAGAAGCGCTCGAAAATACAAACGAAATGTGCTCATGCCCCCCTGGGCATCCTATAATACTCCTTTGAGACAAGTTTAGTGATTATCAGTTTCTATGGTTACGAGATATGACGTCATAAGTAGCAGGTGGTCAGGGCATTTTTGAGTGAAAATGCATGTTTTTTCAACTTAATTTCAACAATAAAAGTAAATCTTGTAGATAAAATGAAGCGAAGTACTTATTTAGGTATTAAACTACATGTCAAGCACAAGACGTGTCCAATTCTCGGCGTTTTTACCCGATTTCTAATTCTTGGTAAAATCCAAGATGGGGGCTAAGTTGGCGACCATGTTTGGTGATGTCACAGGCCTCCAGCAGCAGCACCACCCATAAATTATACCTCATCTTGTCGAGAAGATCAAAGGCTTTCCACTGAACGTAGTGCCTTTTCAAAATACTGCAACATATCAGAAACTCTAGAAAGGGGTTCGATCAACCCCCCCATGTACCTCGGTGGGGGTATTATTTTGCTGCTATGTCCGAAAGGTTAAAATATTTGAAAGATGTTGTCGCAGTACAAAATTCCGTCAATTGAAAAAAGTTTTGTATCATTCAGCAAGAATTGTACTTATTTCTGTTTTTTCTTGGTTCCATGAAATTTAAGGGAACTTTTTCTATATTGATAATTCATCTTGCTTTGCCTGGTAGAAACATTGATAATATTTATCATGTCGTTCAAATTCTTGTAAAGCAATCTTTAGTAACCGAAAGAACGCTTTCTCTATGTATGTAGGTGGAGG